AATAATACAATAATCCTATATAATAAAGAGCTAATATGCTAATTAGATTGGACGGCAGAACGACCTTCTGGAATGACCAGTGGCCGGGTGGCTGGGCCGTACGAATTTCGTGCATCGGACCTCCAGTTAACTAATAATAGTACAAGAATAAACTCTGGATTTTGAGTACTTACAACCTTTAAAACGACTTTTGCTCATCCCTGTATCCACAGAGAATTTTCCCTGTTATCTGTTGGATCAAAACCTGGGGCAAAAGCTGCTTTCCATGGACAAAATGAAAAGTAGATGAAATTTATGACCAGTGTTTTCTAATATAGCTCCCCCCCTTCCCTGCAAGTTATTCCAATATGTGTAAGATTACTCGTTTCTTCCTACTATTTCCTACTATTTTTTTCTTTTCATTATGAAAATAATAATATAATAATAGACATATTACTGTCTGCTAGCTACTTTTCTAAGCGCTTCATGAGTATTAACTAATGTAGTCTCTCTATCAATCCTTTGAAGCAGGTATTTATTATTAATCTCTTTTGCAGGCTCTATCCCCAGTGGGGGGTGGTGTGCAGGAGGCAGCGGATCAACAACTCTCTCTCATCATTGATGTTTCTATCACAGTTCAGTTCCTGGTCAGGGCATATACCCAGGTTGTAGGCTCTATCCCCAGTGGGGGGTGGTGTGCAGGAGGCAGCAGATCAACAACTCTCTCTCATCATTGATGTTTCTATCTCTCTCCTCTCTCTTCCTCTCTGAAATCAATAAAAATAGCAAACTGAGTCAGAGAGGTTAAGATACTTGCCTAAGGTTATTTAATTATGATGCTATACTGCCTCACCAAAAAAATTATGTATTCTTTTTATCTGATGGTGAAAGTAATGCCTTCGAAGTGTTTTAAAACTCAGATAATAAACAAAATATAAGACCACACAGCTATAGTAACTGGAAAGCAAAACATGTAATAATTTACTGTGAAATGAGCATGCATGCGTTCCAAATTCTAATGCTAAGACTGCTGGTGAGCTGGGTCACGGCTGAGGCTGTGCAGGCGAGGCTCAAACCCAGACATCGGTTCCTACCACGCAGCCAAGGCAGAAGAGACAGAAGGCAGAGGGCAAGAACACAGGCCTGTTCTGAAAAAGCAAAAGCAAAAACACAGCGTGAGGAAAATGTCACCCGTAACCTATACCCTATGGAGAACCAAATGCCTACTCAAGCAGATACAAATACACATTAGTTCCCATTTCAGACATTGGAACATACTGTACATCATGAGATTTCTTTTTTGTCCTTAATTCAAAATTTTAAACAGCTCTGTTGAGGTCTAGTTTATATACCATTACATTCTCGTTTTAATCATTCAAAAATTTTACTTATAGTACAGAGTTTGTAATCATTACCACAATCCCATTTGAGACTATTGTATCACCCCAAGAAAATCTCTCATACCCATGTGCTCTGACTCTGCATTCCCACTCCCACCCCCTGGCAACTACAAGGCATCTTTCTCTCTGTATTGATTTGTCTATTCTGGACATTTCACGCCAATGGGAAGATACAATGTGTGGTATTTTGAACCTGGGTTTTACTTAGCACAGTGTTTTCAAGGTTCCATCTTGCTGTAGCACATATCACTAGTTTACCTCTTTTGATAGTGAATAATATTCCATTGGATGTATATGCCACATTTTGCTTATTTATTCCACTGTTGTTGGACATTTAAATTGTTTCAAATAAACAGTGTCGCTATGGTTATTCATGTAGAAATGTTTGTGTGCACATAATGTTTTCATTTCTCTAGGGTAGATATGTAGGAGTGGAACTGTTGGGTCCTATGGTAAAGTTTCCGAAATGGCTGTGCTAATTTACATTCCTACCAGCAACATATGAGAATTCTAGCTTCCCTACATCCTAGCCATCACTTGCTCTTGTCTATGTTTTTTATTATAGCCATCCTAGTGGTTGTGAAGTGATATCTCGTTTCGATTTGTATTTCCCTAATGACTAATAACCAGCATCTTTTCATGTGCTTATAGGCCATCCTAATATTTTCTTTGATGAAATGTCTATTCCAAATGTTGCCCAAATTTCAATTGGGCTGCCTTTTTATTATACACTCCCACAGTTCTTTAGGTGTTCCCAACCGGGTTGGTGATCGAACCTACAACCCAGGTGTATGCCCTTGACTGGGATTCGAACCCAGAACCCTTTGGTGTGCGGGCCAATTCTCTAATTACTGAACAACACTGGCCAGGGTTCTTTTCACTTTCTTTTTTTTAAAAAAAATTCTATTTGTATTGATTTCAGAGAGGAAGAGAGAGGAGAGAGATAGAAACACCAATGATGAGAGAGAGTTGTTGATCCGCTGCCTCCTGCACACCACCCCCCACTGGGGATAGAGCCTGCAACCTGGGTATATGCCCTGACCAGGAACTGAACCGTGATCTCCTACATATCTCAGTGGTGCAATGCTCAACCACTGAGCCACTTTCTTAATGGGGCAGAAATGTTTTGAATTTTCATTAAGTCAATCTATCAATTTTTTTCTTTTATTGCTTGGGCTTTTGGTGTCATATCTAAGAAGTCCTTGCTTAAACCTGCCATGTTTTAGAATTGCCCTGCCCCCACCTACCACTTGTCAGCATGTCTTGGATATCTTTCTACCTCAATAAACACAGATCTGCTTCATTATTCTTTATGCATTTGGTTTCTAAAAAGAGGGGAGGAAGGAAAGGAGACCACAGGGTCAGACTGCTCCAAATATCCAGGACCATGCTGTTCATCCTTGGGGCGTTCCTAATTCCATTTTGAATCATCTCAGGTCTGGTACCTCCTCTGTGGTTGTGTTTTGTGAATAAAAACTTTGTTAGGTCCTTAACTTTATCATAACATCTTATGTTTTAATACCTTGGTCACATAGATTCCTGGTCCCAAATTTTCTGTAGGCTTAAATTCCTCCACCCCAGATTCCAGGGATGGGATGCTCATAAGAAATATGGTTCCCCTGTAATGGAGATTTGACAGCCACTGTGTCCAGCATTTACTTCACTCTCTAAAACTGACTGAGCTTTGGGAATGACTCAGCTCCAGCTAATGTATTAAAACGTAAATATGGAAAAAGAAAAGTAAATTGTAGATAACAGCAATTGGCACGTTGGTTTTAATGGAAGACTTAGGGATATTCCTGAACAAAATAGTGGTTATCATTTAACAAGTTCCAGAATGAGATGAATGGTTGCACTCTGGCCTCTATCCAGAGAGGGGTTTCACTGGCTTGATGGGGAGGGTATGAGGTATTGTGCAAAGCTAGACCCTTTTTTAGGAACTACATTTTAGACAGAGAACAGTAATGGAGAAAATCCAGTGAGCAAAAGAGCCTCTAAGAGGGACCTCAGAATAAGAATGGGAAAGGCAGGTTAGAGGATTTCAGAGCTCAGTGCTGAAAATGCTAACCTGCTGAAAGAGAGGGTCACTACACAACCATTTTGATGAGAACCCGAAGTGGGATGGCCAGGATCCTCAGTAGACCTGGCCCCCTAAAATTGGGGCCCAGAATTTGGAACCTGAGTGCTGACACTGGGGAAAAGCAAAGAGCATGGGGGAAAGATGTAAGGGCAACCCCCCAGGCTGCACCATGGCCATTGCAAGGTCAGGGAAGTGCCCTGGGCCAAGAGGTACACAAGGGCCAACAAAGAGCTCCCCCCAAACTGGTAGGTAACTATATGAGGCTGAGAAATGCAGAGGGAGATCATTCTAGGACGTCCTTTAAGCATTAACCTTAGGTCTTTAACTTTTGGGTTTTTTTCACATGGAAAACAATACCGAGTCACTGCTGGGGGGAGTGAGGACAGCTGCTGTGTGCATGGAATATACTGGAAGCTACTGCAGAGATTCAGACGTGAGGAAGGCTAGCGTGATACGGGCAGCTCTTTTTCTGGTGTGTAGGAAGAAAGGATCGCCAGGCCTTTAGGGACGGATGGCTGTGCGAGTACAAGAAGATACAAACATGGGCGGGGGTGGGGTGAGGTGGAGTGGGGGTGGGGCGAAGGCTGTAAGAAGATGGAGGGTTTTTTGGAGGTGGTGTGATTATATACGTACAGCAAAATGCACAAATCTTAAGTGTGGAATGAATTTTGATAAATGTCTGCATGAGGTTTTTTTAAAGGCTGAGTTTTGCCTGCCTGCAGATCCTAAGTGAAGCTGCCTCAAAAGCAAGAAGCTATATGCACCTTAGCGAGAGAAGCAACACAGGCTGGAACTATAAATTTGAAAGTTATGCCAGCAGGTTGAAATTTTGTGAGCAAACAAACACAAGCACAGGAAATAGGAACTGGAGAAGAGAAAGGCCCAATTTTTGGTGCGCTTGAAGCCCACACACTGGGGGTCTTATTTGCGGGTTTAAGTGCAGAGACTTTTTTATTTTTTCAACCTCATACTAAATTCTCTTAAGGGAGAAAGAAACCACTTTCCCAGTTGGCTTCTGCCAAAGTCTGCCCTACAGCACTTGCAGAATGGTGTCGTTGGGGGAAGGGAACAACAAGACCCCACGGAGTAGTCTGCACCTCCTCCACGCAGCTTGCACGACTAGGATACACAACTTTGTTCCCAACCTGGGGAGCCCAGCTCCTCCGTGCAGCAGCCCTGCAGCAATACCTTTGGTGTTTGCAGACTGTGCAAGCTCACTAGCAGCAGGAGCACAGCTCTCAGAGTTGGGGGGTGGGGGGCGTGGCCGCGCCCACTCCCGCCCAGACAGTCCGGGGAACATTCTGAAAAGTATCCAAAAGTTCTGCGCCGCGCGCGCCAAAAGAAAATATAAAAGGGCGCAACCCCCCACTACTCTGGGCATTGCGAGGACAGACTGCGGAGCTCTCGCCGCGCCTCCCGCTGCAGTGCACACGCCTCCTGCGCGCTCTCGGAAACCCAGCCGTCGGCTGGGCGCTCCCCTTGTAGCGGTCTTCGGACCAGAGAGGCGCCCTGAGACTATCTGCGCTTCTCTTTGGAGCACCATGCCCAACGACGACGCATTCAGCAAGCCCTCGGCCCCGTCGGAGCCCCCGCACGCCTCCGGGGCACCGCCGCAGGGCAAGGCCGGGGGCTTCGGCAAAGGGGCCGGGGCGCTGCTGGGAACCTCCGGCGCCGGAGGCAGCGGCGGCGGCGGCGGCGGCGGCTCGGGGGCGACCGGCACGGGTGCCGGGAGCAAAAAGTCTCCGCGGCTGCCCAAGTGCGCGCGATGCAGGAACCACGGCTACGCGTCGCCGCTCAAGGGCCACAAGCGCTTCTGCATGTGGCGGGACTGCCAGTGCAAGAAGTGCAACCTGATCGCCGAGAGGCAGCGCGTGATGGCCGCGCAGGTGAGTGCGGGCGCCCAGGGAACCGGGCTGAGCCCCAAACTTTTTTGGATAAAGTCCCTCCGGCCTGGCCGGCGCCGCGCGGGGCCCGGGTGCGGGAAGGAGGCGGCGGTGCTCGCCGGCCGCTGCGGCGCGCATGGCCCGGGCTCCCAGCCGCGCGCCGACGCCCCGCTCGGAGGAACGCGTCTCCGATCCCGCTGGCAGAGCGGGGAGCTGCGGAGTTCGCTTGGCTTGGGCACCCCGCGATCCCTGGCCCAGCCCTCCAGCAGAGAATTGCGGGTTTCGCCCCTCGGGGATCCCTAGAATCTCTGATCCCGCTTTTATACCAAAGTTGGGTTCGCTCGTGAGCCCCCGGGGTCCCTGACCCAGCCTCCAGCAGAGAATTGCGAGGTTCGCCGGGCTGGGGAAGGTCCCCGGGATCTGCGCCCCCAGCAGAGTGGCAGGGTGCGCGCTTTGGGGGTCCCGGGGGGCCCTGATTCCGCCCTCCAGCGGAGAGTTGCGCTTACATTCGGAGGGTGCCGGCCTGGGCTCCCCGTCTGGGCGAAACCGAGAGCTGCCCGCTGCTCCGGATTTCCCGTCGGGCAGCTCTTTTTCTGGAAACTTCGCTGTAACGGACGGACGCTGCCGGCGTGGCCCTCCTGCGCTCTTGGCGCCCTTTCGGCTTCGCCCCGCGTGGCCGGCGGCGCCTCAGCCATTTTGGGCGCCGCGTCCGGCACCTTTACCGCGTCTTCCCGTGCGCCGTCCCGACCCAACTTACTCAGCTACGAATGGCTTTGTGTTTCCTTTTAAAACGCACTCCAGAATTCCTTTAAAAATATGCGCGGCGGAGGAAACGCTAGGGGTTGAAGTTTTGTCTGTCGTTCGTGGTTTATTTTCTTTTAAAACGGCAAAAGCACGACAGTAATTTAACTTCGTAACGGAAATAGTTAATGTCTTCGGTATCCTAAAAGGATTTTTAGAGGAGAATAAAAACTTTTTCTTCCCAGCTAAAAACTTTTTATCTTGTAAGACAGTTTATTTTAAAAGAAAAGATACCCAAGATATTTACCAACGATGTGCTACTTTTGGGGAGGAATGTGTAAATATACGCCATTAAAAATGATTTAGTTGAGCGCGTTGAACAGGACTGCACAAATGCGTAAAGGTTATACTTTTATGTATATCCTTTTTTAAAAATAATTTTTTTAAAAATAGATCTATTTTGGCTTCATAGATTCTGAGTGCAGTCATGGAAATGCAGGTTGTTTTTTCTTGGTTTCTCTCTAGATTTTTAGCTTAATCTATAGTGGATGAAATGAGTAAGCTGAGTGTCGCGTTCAAATGCATCACAATGAGCTCCTTGGGAAAAAACACACCTTAGGAACATTTAGATTGTGTTTGTAGGCAGAAAAATACTCTGAACACGTAGTCGTTGACTTAAATAGTGTGGAGAGTATGCTTGGGAGGGGAATTCTCCTAAAAATATAATAAAAATATTCATTTTGAACAAGCTTTATTGTAGGGGCACTAACTTGGGAGAGGGCTGTTTGTTATGTTAAAAGCAAAAGCAACTCAGGATTACTTTTATGAAAATGTGAAACTTGGGTGTTTTCCCCATCAGAAGGCTGGTGTTGTGATGAAACCTTTCAAATCCATGTAACAGCTTTTTTTTTAGTCCTAAAATAATTTGAAATTGATCTTAGATATGACTCTGATTAATTGCATGTTTGTTTTTTAAGTCAGTTGCCTCACCTTCCCTGTTTAAATAACATTTCCTAAGAACCCTTGGAAGGTCTTTGTAAAAGTGTCTTTAGTTTATGGAATATTTATTTTGTATGTTTTGTGCATGAATGGGATTTGTGTAAATTAAGGTATAGGCATAGGCATACTGCACAGGTTTGTGGGTATTTTTTATTATTTATGATCAGATCTTTAATATTCTGTTTTAAAATTTCTTGGTTAATAATAGAAAGTCCAAGATTTAAGCATAATTACTTAATCTTAATTATTTAAGGATTCTTTTGTAAGTTGAAACTCCTTTTATAATGAGTAAAATTACTTCCAAATTAATCAGCTTTCTGAATTTGGACTACAATTTTCCTAAAACAATATATAAATTGTAGTTGTGCTTCCAGTTTACCATTTTAAAAAAATCCAAAGCAAACCAGTTTACCATTTTGATTTCAACTTTGGCTTGTCTTTGGGACTCTGAGGTACAGGTGCTTTCTCATTGCATTATCACCAAGAGTCAATTTCAACAGAAAGTCTCTTTTTTTGTTACATGTGGTCAGCCAAAATGCAATTTATTTTCTTTACACCTCTTTTTTTCTATCTTTAATAATGTTATTTAAAAGAAGATAATTTCAAGAGGGGCTATGAGGAGTTTCTTTTTTAAAAATATATTTTTATTGATTTCAGAGAGGAAGGAAGAGGGAGGGAGAGAGAGAAACATCAATGATGAGAGAGAATCATTGGTTGGCTGCCTCCTGCACGCCCCCCACTGGGGAGGGAGCCCGCAACCCGGGCATGGACCCTGACTGGGAATCCAACTAGCAAATTCTGGTTCCTGGGTGGATGCTCAACCACTGAGCCACACTGGCCGGGCAGGAGTGCCTGAAGTATGTTAGGTCCCTTCTATCTCCTCCTTCCTGCTTCCATCTCCTTCTTTCCTGCCTGGAATTCCACCTTCCTCTCGCTTTCTCTCCACCTCCGGCCTCTCCCTTCTCCAGGGGCTTCAACACCAGCTTCCAGTCCTTTCCCCCTCATCCCCTTACTTCTCCACAGGCTCCCCTCCACCCCAGGCTCTGAAGGGTGTCACCAGCAGCCTGACTTTCCTGCCCACCTGCTTCCCTTGCTCTGCCCCTTCATCCTTACCTGTCCAAGTCCTAGTCCATCTAATATTCAAGGCTCTGATCCAGTACCATCTCTGGTGATTCTTACACTTGAAGGCGTTTCTGGCTCTGAATGTAGGACTGGTGTGTGCCTCTCCTGTGGTGTTTGCCACATTCTGCAATCTGTCTTGAGTTGCATTTTGCTTGCCTCCTGTTTCTCCTTTTAAAAGTTTACTTATTTATTTATTTTTTAAATTTTCACCCAAGGTTGTATTTTGTATTTTTATTGATTTTTAGAGAGAGAAGGGGAGAGGGAGAAAGAGAGATGCTGAGAGAGAGAGAGAGAGAGAGAGAGAGAGAGAGAGAGAGAGAGAGAGAGAGAGAGAGAGAGAGATACCAGGCCTGAGATGCAACTGGAAGCTAGGTGTGTGCACTGACGGGGAGTTGAACATGCAACCTTTTGGTGCACAGGATGATGTCCAACCAGCTGAGCCACCCGTCCAGCCAGGGCTTGTTTCTCCTTTAAAACAGTGAGTACCTGGGGATCTAATCTAGCCGCACTGTATCTTGCTGGTCGCTGTTCCCAGCAGAGTGGCCTGTTACAGATTTGTGGAGGGAAGGCGATCCATTCCCCTGCCTTTCTAACTAACATTCCAGTGCAGACTTCTCAGATGGAACACCTCTGCTGGGCTGACTACCATTTTTCCGGATTCTCCGTAGCCAACCTATTTCCTTCTTCTTTACATGCAAATTCATTTACTGAACATTGTTTTAAGCGCCTACTGTGGGCCAGTCACTGGCTCTAAACCATTTCTCAGCTTTGGCTGCTCATCGCACGCAGTTCCCTGGCAGTGGGAGCTGTTCAGACCTCAGCCTGGAGCTGCTGAATCGTGCGGCCCGGGGTGAGCGGGCTTCAGTGTGTTTTCCCAAAGCTGCGCGAGTGATGCTTGTGGTGACCTGCTGCCCTGTGCTTTCAGGTGGCCCTGAGAAGGCAGCAGGCCCAAGAGGAGGAACTGGGGATCAGCCACCCCATCCCGCTGCCCACTGCGACCGAGCTGCTGGTCAAGAGAGAGAACAACGGCGGCAACGCGTGCCTGATGACCGAGAGCGGCAGCTCCGCGCAGCCGCCGCCCCCGCCCCTGCCTCCGCCGCCGGTGGGCGCCCCCGCCAGTGCAGTTCCAGGTAACCTGGGGGACCGGGCTTCACAGTGTGGCTGAGCAAGAGGGAAGAAAGGCCGTGGCCCCCAAACAGTCTCAGGACCGTCCTGAGCCACGTGTCACTTAGAGGGTTTTCTTACAGGACTCGTCCTCTGCAGGTGTTTTTGGCTGCTTCACAGAGGAGAGGGCCATGTAATCTAGAACTGGCAGTTCAACAGCTTTACTTTTCTGTTGGTTATTAGCCAAGACTGCATCTGCACAGCGTGCCAGAGGACCGAGATTTTCCAGATTTCACCACAATCCACCCTTCCATTTTTTAGTCCTTTTGGTGACAGCTATAAAAGTCCTTGTTTTCTAGAACCAAAAGTCCGTTTCGCTGGCAAATGACTGCAATCCATTTGCATCAGGTTTCAGTGAGCACTGGGGCGTGAGGGAAGGCATGTCTCATTGGCTTAAATTCTCTCTCCCATGCACTAAGGCTGTACCAGGGGCTACTTGTATGTTTGCTCATTTCATTCTCAGAAGTAGGAGGTATTGGTCCCATTTTACACATGTGAAAACTGAGGTATAGGCAGTTTAAGTGACTGGCTAAATAAATCTACAGAACCAGAGAGTATCTGACTGGGTCCATCTGCCTCCAGAGCTCACTGTCCTTACTGCATGGGGTCTCCAAAGTACTTCCAGCATCAGGATGGTCTAGAGCTGCACTGTCCAGTAGGGAAGCCCCTAGCCACATGTGGCTAGGTAAGATTAATAACAATGAAATAAAATTAAAACATTCATCCAAAGAAGATAAACAAATGGCCAATAAACACGTGAAAAGCTGCTAAACATCACTGGTCATTATGGAAAGCAAATTGAAATTACAATGAGATTCCATCTTTTTAAAAAATATTTTATTGATTTTTTACAGAGAGGAAGGGAGAGGGATAGAGAGTTAGAAACATCGATCAGCTGCCTCCTGCACACTCCCTACTGGGGATGTGCCCGCATCCAAGGTACATGCCCTTGATTGGAATCGAACCTGGGACCCTTGAGTCCCCAGGCCGATGCTCTATCCACTGAGCCAAACTGGTCAGGGCCATCTTTTTTTTTTTTAAATATGTTTTATTGCTTTTAGAGAGGAAAGGAGAAATAGATAGAAACATCAATGATGAAAATCATTGATTGGCTGCCTCCTGCACACCCCCTACTGGGGATCGAGCCGGCAACCCAGGCATGTGCCCTTGGCGGGAATCAAACCTGGGACCCTTCAGTCTGCAGGTTGATGCTCTATTCACTGAGCCAAACCAGCTAGGGCATGAGATTCCATCTTAAAATAAGATACCAACCAACACATTAAGATGGTTACTTTGAAAAACCCCACACAAAATAACAACACTAGTGAGAATATGGATAAATGGAAAACTTCGTGCTCTGTTGTAGGAGAATAAAAGGGTTCATCTGATAATGGAAAACGGTATGAAAGTTCCTCAAAAATTGAAAATAGAATTACCCTATGATCCAGTAATTCCTCTTCTTGTTATGTCCCCAAAAGAATTGTAAGGAGGGTCTTGAAGAGATATTTGCACACCCATGTTCACAGCAGCATTATTAATTTTAGCTAAAATGTGGACGCTTCCCATGTTTATCAACAGATGAACCGATAAGCAAATTATTTAGCTTTGAAAAGGAAGGAAGTTCTGAGACGTGCTACAAAATGGATAAACCTTGAGGACATTATACTAAGTGAAACAAACCAGTCACAAAAATACAAAAATACTGTATGATTCCACTTAAATACTTAAGGTAGTAAAAGTCATAGAGACAGAAAGTAGAACGGTAGTTCTCAGGGACTGAGGAGAGTTAGTGTTTAATGGGTATAGAGCAACGATTTTCAACCTTTTCATCTCTTGGGACACACAGACTAATTACTAAAATTCTGCAGCACACCAAAAAATAGATTTTTTGCTGATCTGACCAAAATTTAGGTATAATTTTGATTCATTCACACTGGACAGCTATCATGTTGGCTGTTGTCATTTTTTAAATTTGACAATATAAGGAAAAAGGTCAGTGCTCCTGACTAAATAGTCAGGTGTTGAATGTTTTTAAAATTCTGTGGGACACCTGTTGACAATCACAAAGATGAAAAGAGCTATGGAGATGGATGGTAGTGATGGTTGCACATTCTAAATATATTTAACCAGTGCCCTGGTGCACAGATTCGTGCACATTGAAAGAAATTTAATTAGAAGGTGGCCAGTGGGGTGGGACTGGGCTAGTGCGCCAGACACGCCCTGGAGCCAACCTCCCACTGTCCCTCCCTGGCCAGCCACACCTGGGGCAGCTCCATGGCTCAAAGGGCGCCTGCAGAGTGAGGGGGTCCCTCTGGCAGGTGGGGTCCCTTGGCCTGGCCTGTGGGGATCGGGCTGAAACCAGCTCTTCAATATCCCCCGAGGGGTCCTGGATTGTGAGAGGGCAGTTGTCAGGTGATGCACCCCGGAATCGGGCTCCTCCTCTCTGGTTCTGGGGTGCATCACCTGAGAACTGCTGCCACCAAGTCACCGCAGCTCGGCAGCTCCTGCGTTGAGTGCCCCCTGGTGGTCAGTGTGCGTCATACCTGCTGGCTGGTGGGACGGTCGGACTGTCGCTTAGCCTTTTGTATATATAGATATTGTTGAACCGTGCACTTAAAAATGGTTAAGATGGTGCTCTGGCTGGTGTAGCTCAGTTGGTTGGATGTCGTCCTGTGCACTGAAAGGTTGCCAGTTTAATTCTTGATGTTTGGCTCTTAACATCTATGTTTCTCTCCCTTCCTCCGGCTTCCCTCCCTCTCCTTTCTTCTCTCTCTAAAATTTAATAAAAAAATGATTAAGATGGTAAATTTTAGGTGTATTTTACAACAATAAAAAAATAAAAATTTAAAATATTCATTTTCTCATTTGTACTAGCACATTTCAAGTGCTCAATAGACATGTATAGGTAAGGCCGACCATATTGAGTAGTGTGCCTTGCTATTTCTCACAAAGGTCCATTTGATGGCCCTGGTTTAGAATGCAGGAGCTCTAAGAAAATCCACCAAAGACCTGTGAAATCCTGTTGGCAATAAATACATATATTATTATATTTAATACATATACGGAGATTCACAGCATGTATATAGAGCAGTGGTTCCCAACCATTTTGTGGCTATGCCCCACCTAAGCACCTCTAAAATCCTGATGTCCCCCCTGTGGCATATAATTCTTATTATTCAAAAAAGGGAACTATTCATGTGGAGGAAGCCTAAAAGGCCATTAACTTGGTCTAAACAAGCTTCCAGAGAACATGGCATCAATGAAAGAAAAATACAAGAACGAAAGGACAGTTGAAGTGCTGAGGATGAAATCACTAAGAAATTGTAAAAAAAAAAATAATAATAATATGAAGTGATACGAAAAAATAGCAAATAAAGTTTTTAAACATATACTAGTAATAGAGAAGTCAAATGCTTAAATAAGTCACAATATATATGTATATACTGTCTATGAGGCCCCTAGAACAGTGGTCGGCAAACTGCGGCTCGCGAGCCACATGCGGCTCTTTGGCCCATTGAGTGTGGCTCTTCCCAAGCCTTAGGAGTACCCTAATTAAGTTAATAACAATGTACCTACCTATATAGTTTAAGTTTAAAAAATTTGGCTCTCAAAAGAAATTTCCATCGTTGTACTGTTGATATTTGGCTCTGTTGACTCATGAGTTTGCCGACCACTGCCCCAGAACCATAAGAAATGCAAAGAACTCACGGTAATAACTCATTCTCGAATTGCTCCGCTTAAAAATCAAATTGCCTCCCTGTGGGGCGTGTGCCCACGTTGGGAGCCACCGATACAGAGCCTGTGGTGTGGTTCCAGGAAGTAGAGCCCTGCGGTGCGCTCTCTCCCCTAATGTTTTCACCAGTTACTCAGTTTGCTGCGCTTAACCACTGGGCTGCGCTGCTCAGCTGCCCGTCGTGAACTAGTGTGTAACTGAACACGCCGCTTACGCTCTCTGGGCCTTCCGTTTCCTCTTCATAAAAGGGGGAAGGAGGTCTTTGCAGGTTTTTGAAGACTCTCTGAATCTTGACCGTTAAAACGAAGGAGAAGGTAAGCAGGTGAGTGGTGGAACCATACTTTCTACATTGCAGGTTGCTGTGTCTGTGTGTCTGTCTCTCTGTGTGTTGCTGGGGCTATAGGTTCTATAGCGAACAAAGGAAATGGTATTATTTCCTATTTATTTATTTATTTATTTATTTGGCTTGGTTTCTCGTATCCTTACAACAGTTTCCAAACTTTCGTTTCCGGAGGAAGGAGATCTTTACACTTTGGGATTTTAAGCTGTGTCTAAAGTTAATTACCAAATAATGCATACCTGGTCGGGGCTGATGTGGATTTAGCTGGAGGGCTGAAATGGAAACTGGGTGTGCCAGAGGAGTAAAGGGGAGTGGGTGTTCACAAGCATCTTAGGCGGCAGGAGTTACTCCCATTTACAGGTAAGTAAACGAATGGTAAGGAAACTGCCTCAGAATAAAGCCCATGCCTGCCCAGTTCCAAAGCCCATGGGTTTTCCATTTAGCTGCGGGTGAAGAAAGGCTGTGGGAACAGTAGCCATGTTTCTTTGGAAAATGGGCAATTATGATTAGAGGCATGGTTTAATCCTCAGAAGGCATTTAGTGCTAATGGGCAATAAGAACTACGTTAGGGGCAGAAGTCTCTGCCGTTCTCCGGTAGCATAGAAGACTGCAGCCACGGGTCTTCGTGTGGAGAAATACAGGGAAGTGATGGGTAAATGTCAGTGCTGGGCATTTTGTAAGTCATCACAGGTGAACTTGGTCCAGCTGCTGTCCTGTATTCCACCTTGGTGGAAGGGATGTCAGAGTTTGATTGTGTGTACCCCAAGATAGTGGAGCTTTAGAGAAGGATTTCAGGCTAGATGGAGTTCAGAATGACAAAGAAGTTCTCCCAGGGTATTTCAGAGTGGCACTGGGGGAAATTACAAATAGAAGCAGCAGAAAAGCAAGGTAGA